ACTTCACATCAAATTTTCTGAAGGTGTTATCATAGATATTTTTATGCTTAAAAATGTCAAATTAAGTGCCCCCCAAAAAGAGCATTTATGGGAAGTTTTAATTCATTACTTCATTTTGAAAAGTACTGCTAAAAGTTATCATATACTTTGAGAAGCTTATGGTGAACATGCTCCATCTCAAGATACTTATTAACGCTGGTTTAAACGCTTTAAAAGTGATAATTTCGATGTGAAAGACAAAAACATCCAGATCAGACAAAAAAGTTTGAAGACCAACAATTACAAGCATTATAGGATGAAGATTCGTGTCAAACTCAAAAACAACGTGCAAAAAGATTAAACCTTGCTCAGCCAAAAATATCCGATCACTTGCAAGCAATGGGAAAGACATTAAAGGAAGGAAAATGAATACCACATCATCAACTGAACGAAAGACAAATGGAAAACCCTAAAAGTCATCAGTAAAATGTTGCTTCAACAGCACGAAAGTCTTTTTTCCATCAAATTGTGACAGGCAATGAGAAGTGCATTTATTTTGAGAATCCCAAACGCACAAAACCCAGGTCAACGATCAACATCAACTGCAAGGCAAAATCCCTTCGGAAAGAAGACAATGCTCTGCGTTTGGTGGGATCAGGAAGGTGTGGTGTATTATGAACTTCTAAAACCAGGTGAAACTGTTAACACTTGGATTGCGGGAAACGAGTTAAGTCGGCTCGCGTGAATTGCGCGTACTCCGCGGGAGCCGTCTTAACTCGGTTCATATAGATTTGCGGTGGAGTGCGGGAAACGTGTAAACTCGGGCCGATTGTAACTGCGTATTACCAAATATGTGTTTGTTTGCCGTTCACAAAGATACCTACCTGCGTATGCAAACCGTTTCATACCCATTGGGGTAATAGGTATCATAAAAATCCCTTGTAAGTAGAAAACACTTTATGGCGCTGGTCGAGTACAATACCGTTAGGGTACCAATGTATTGTTTTCTCATTTTATAACCGATATCCCTGGATATCTCACCATGCAAAGAGAATAGTTATTGAGAAATACTTCTTGTGTCCGGACGTCTTTAGTTTTGAGTTTTGTGAATATTATTACGTGTTTAAATATTTAAATATATTGTGATAAAGACATTCATATAGAATTTTTTAACCAAATAAAATAAAATCGTTCCGCAAAGTGTTCGCATAATTATTTTTTTATATCAGATATCTATCGGAGTACCGCTATTTTCAGTTAGTATTATTTTTATTTGCTTTAACCTAGAATGTCGCAGCATTCAGACTATAGTGATGATGAGTTTTGTGCAGACAAGTTGTCCAATTATTCTTGTGATAGCGATCTTGAAAATGCGAGTACAAGTGATGAAGATTCTAGTGATGATGAAGTAATGGTGCGTCCCAGGACATTGAGGCGACGAAGAATTTCGAGCTCCAGCTCTGACTCAGAGTCAGATATAGAAGGCGGGAGAGAAGAATGGTCGCATGTTGATAATCCACCGGTCTTAGAAGATTTTTTAGGGCATCAAGGATTAAACACAGATGCTGTTATAAATAATATAGAAGATGCCGTGAAATTATTTATCGGAGATGATTTTTTTGAATTTCTTGTAGAGGAGTCAAACAGGTATTATAATCAAAATAGGAATAATTTCAAACTTTCAAAAAAAAGCCTAAAGTGGAAAGATATAACCCCTCAAGAGATGAAGAAGTTTTTAGGGTTAATTGTTCTCATGGGACAGGTGCGCAAAGATAGAAGAGATGACTATTGGACCACGGAGCCATGGACGGAGACGCCATATTTTGGTAAAACGATGACGAGAGACAGGTTCCGACAGATATGGAAAGCTTGGCACTTCAATAATAATGCGGATATCGTAAATGAATCAGATAGACTTTGCAAAGTGAGACCAGTACTAGATTATTTTGTGCCTAAATTTATAAATATTTACAAACCTCATCAGCAATTATCACTAGATGAAGGGATCGTACCTTGGAGGGGAAGATTATTCTTTAGGGTATATAATGCTGGCAAGATCGTTAAATATGGAATATTGGTTCGTTTGTTGTGCGAAAGTGATACAGGATATATCTGTAACATGGAAATTTATTGCGGCGAAGGAAAGCGATTATTGGAAACGATACAAACAGTAGTGTCTCCATACACTGATTCGTGGTACCATATATATATGGACAATTATTATAATAGCGTCGCAAATTGTGAAGCACTTATGAAAAACAAATTCAGAATATGTGGAACAATCCGGAAAAATCGAGGTATACCTAAAGATTTTCAAACAATTTCTTTAAAAAAGGTGAAACAAAATTTATAAGGAAAAATGATATATTGTTACAAGTGTGGCAATCAAAAAAGCCTGTATACCTGATTTCTTCGATTCATTCTGCGGAGATGGAAGAAAGTCAGAATATTGACAGAACATCAAAAAAGAAAATTGTCAAACCGAATGCACTCATTGACTACAATAAACATATGAAAGGTGTTGACCGGGCCGACCAATACCTTTCATATTATTCGATATTGCGGAGGACGGTCAAATGGACAAAAAGGTTGGCAATGTATATGATAAATTGCGCATTATTTAATTCTTATGCAGTTTACAAATCAGTGAGGCAAAGAAAAATGGGTTTTAAAATGTTTTTGAAACAAACAGCTATCCACTGGTTGACGGATGATATTCCAGAGGACATGGACATTGTTCCAGACCTTCAACCAGTACCGTCTACTTCTGGAATGCGGGCTAAACCACCTACATCCGATCCACCATGCAGGCTATTGATGGACATGAGAAAGCATACGTTACAGGCAATTGTCGGAAGTGGAAAAAAGAAAAACATTTTGAGAAGGTGTCGCGTATGTTCCGTTCATAAATTGCGCAGTGAGACACGCTACATGTGCAAATTTTGCAATATACCTCTACATAAAGGGGCGTGTTTTGAAAAATATCATACGCTAAAAAACTATTAATTTCTATTTGTTTTGATTTATTATGAAAATTTTATTTTAAACTTTAAAAATATGTGTATATTTTTAGGTAATAAGTATTTTTTGGGTTTTTCGTATTTAGTTTATATATATCGAATTATTTATGTACTGAATAGATAAAAAAATGTCTGTGATTGAATAAATTTTCATTTTTTACACAAGAAACCGAAAATTTCATTTCAATCGAACCCATACTTCAAAAGATATAGGCATTTTAAACTAACTCTGATTTTGCGCGGGAAACCTAAATAATTGCCCGCGCCATCTTATATTTTGGCGGGAAATTCACCCGACACCGTAGTGTTAATACTGATCGCTATCAACAACAAAATAATCAATTTGAACCATGCTTTGATCGTGAAATGACCAGAATGTGCCAGAAGACACAGCAAAGTCATTTTGCTTCATGACAGCACACCATCACACACTTCAAAACCAGTTAAAGACATGTTAAAAGATCTTGCCTGGGAATTATTAACCATCCGAGGTAATCACCAGATCTTGCTCCTTCAGATTACCACTTGTTCTGATCGATGGCACATGCACTTTCAGAGCAGCACTTCAAAACATTTGAAGTGGAAAATTTGGGTCTCTGAATGGTTTGCCACAAAAACAAGAAAAGTCTATTAAAATTTTTGGTATTTATCCACAAATTACCTGAAAGATGGGGCAAATATGTAGCTAGCAATGGACATTAAATAAAGCACTTTTGAAGTTTCTCTTGAAATTGTGTTTAATTACAAAATCCGCATTACCCGTATACCTGATATATACATGATGGACTACTCAATCATAATATAGATTAAATATTGCACTTTGTAACATGGATGGATCTTCAGTATTATAATTGCCCTAGCCCCGTGGTCGTCAAACTGCAGCTCGCGAGCCACGTGCAGCTCTGTGGCCCCTTGAGGGTGGCTCTTCCTAAGCCTTAGTAGTACTTGAATTAAGTTAATAACAATGTACCTACCTATATAGTTTAAAAAACTTTGCTCTCAAAAGAAATTTCAATCGTTGTACTGTTGATATTTGGCTCTGTTGACTAATAGTTTGCAGACCACTGCCCTAGCCAGTTTGGCTTAGTGGATGGAGTCAGCTTGTGGACTGAAAGGTAGCAGGTTCGATTCCAGTCAAGGACACATGGCCAGGTTGCGGGCTTGGCCCACAGTTGAGAGCATGCAGGAGTCAGCCGATCAGTGATTTTCTCTCATCATTGATGTTTTCATCTCTCCCCTCTCCCTTCCTCTCAGAAGTCAATAAAAAAGTCTTTAATAAAGAAAATATGAAATTTACATTAATAAGAACTGTTACTTTAATAAATTAAAAATTAAACACCTTCCTAAAGTGTATCCTCTCATAAAGGTAGAAAATCAAACACAATCTATTTTGATTTCAAATGTTTTTTTAAAAGTTTATTTCAAGTATAAAAAGTAATGTTTCAATATTATCCAAACATCTGTCAGTTTACTAAGTATAAAACAAGACTTCTGACAAAAAAGTTAACAATTAGGTATAAAATACTTAGGATATACTTTGACATTCAGAGAGCACTTTTGAAAACTAAGTTCTGCCAGTAAGTTTTCGAAACAAAAACATATTTAAAGTCTTGCCTAAAATCACCGAGTCCTTAACTGAAGAATATTTTGCCTTACAAAAGGTAAATTAGCATTTCAAAATAAGATTTGTAAAAGAACTCCTTTTAAAATAATGGTATACTTGGCTCAATACTTTTGTAATTCCATGCCTTATGGTTTCCCTGAAAATAGCATTTAGTTTTGTCTGTTACCCACAAATAAGGCCCTCTATGACATACATAACCTAAATCGTAACTAACTCTGACTGAGGCATTTTATCACAGAAATTCTGTATATTTCCAACAAAATATTCTGAAGAGAAAATGATAAAAATTCTTTCATGCCAGTTACAAAATCGTAAGAATTAAAGTCTCAGAATTCTTTTAAAGGACTGCTACCAAGGCTTTTGCTTCTCTTCTCCAGATACAATTTCTGGTAGGCTTGAAATATTGCTTTTGAATCCTTTACTGGGTTTTTTAGCGTCTCAAGTCCATCTGCACTGAAGGTTCTGTTGGTGTTTCTTGAATTAGCCAAGACATTGTCATCTACGGAAACAGAAATTTCATTTATTTACTTTATTAGTCTCTTAATGTTAGTGAGCAAAACAGAGAAACACAATCTTCTCTGGTATAAAAAATTAGGACGAGTTATAAGTTTGATAACTATGGCTTTTCTCAAATTAAACAAATTACACACAGAACTTCTTTCTTGCCTGTCCTTTGGGTTGTTTTCTACTCTCATCGTCACTCCTAACGTAAGGCTGTTCCGCTTTTTCCCTTGCCCAACAAAAATCTAATTTGACATTTGAACACAACTACATGATCTTCTTCATTGCTATTTGATCAGCACAAACACCAGCCAATTCCAGTTTTAAAATTCTGGCTTAGGCATTCCATAACATGCCTGTACTTTAACTCAAACAGTTTCAGTGCTCTATTGGCCTCACTATTCCTTTAAATCCTGGGCCCAGCTTTTCATGTGTACTTCTTGATGTGCCTCTATTTCACTAATGGTTCCCCAGCTGCAAAATTCCAATACTTTTCATCCCAGCTCCAGCCATACCTTTCCACATGAGGTAGGTTTTACATTCTCTAAGCCTGGGTGGGTCAAATAATCTATCCTCTTCTTAATTCTTCTCCACCCTCATTCTTCTCATGGGGACAGAATTTCTGCTGCCTTAGGGGTGTCTCTCTGCTGCTTTCCATTCGAGTAAGTTACTTCCTTTTCTACAATACCCTGGACTGAAAGTTTTATAGATTGCTTCAACCACATAAGGAAAGTTGATACCAAAATTAGGTAAATAATCCTCCTAAAAGGTTATTTTATAGCTCTTTGGGAGACGTAGCATTCCTTATCTCACTTCACATATGTTCAGTTCATCTCTCTTCTCTCATGGAGTCTCATCAGAATGAACAGAGGTCTAAAACTTCTGTGACTGGGACTCCCCTCATCATTAAAATAGATCACTGGTCCCCTCTCCACATATGGAGAAATTAGGAGAGCATATCTTCCAACCATTCACTTGTACAACTGCAAATCTCACTGTGCTTTTTCCCTGGCTTATGTTTTTCCTGTTTTTTTTCCATCATGATTCTAGGTATTGGTGTTTCACTGTTTATTGCTCATCCTGTTGGTGGTTGTTTTTATCCGTTACTTATCTCTTGCCTGAAGATTGTCGGACAACCCGTGCATCCATCTTCTGAATATTTTCATATTCAGATATCAAGTATGGCTCTCACCTTCTCTTTCGAGTGATACCTATGTCTCCTGTTTCTATGGACCATTCGTGCCTTCATTTACATGCTCATTTCTATCACTGTTATTTTTGACTTTTGGTGTTCCAATTTCAAAAAAATTTTAATCTCGGGTCCTCTTTTCTGGTTGTTTTCCAATTCTGATTAATAAGAGTTCACTTCTCCTTTGATTCAACTTTTTCCTAATTGCACATTCAATGTGTATGACTCAATTTCTGTAAGTATTTGTGCTTTCAGCCTTTTTTTCAACTTGTCATTCTTTTCTGAAAATGTGCTTTCCTTTCTTGTTGATTCTGGTGAAATTGTTTTTGTTTTCAAGAGACTAAAACTATTGCCTTGAAATTCAATAAATCAAAACCAAAATAAAACTCCAGAACCCAAGCTTCTACTCCTCAATGCAAAACCCTAAAAATCAACTAGATTCATTCCACCAATTAAACTGAATGTTAAAAGCTCTGGTATTTATGGTTGGTCCTCAGCCCAAATACCTCCCCCAGATATAAAAATCAGCATCGTCTCATTATGAAAATAACTCAATTCCACACATAGGAAATGGATTACTGCTTCTCTCCCCATATCTTTCTACTACTGATAAACACAAACACTGAATCTTTTGTTTTTATTTTTTCAGGATACAGAGTTTATTCAAAGTCCAGTACATACTGGCCAAACTGCCTTCAACAACATGAACAGAGAGCCTGGGGAAAAGGCAAAGTTGTTACAAAATCACTTTCATTCAGTTCTTTCCACATTACAAATTGTCAGGCAGGCAGTGGAAAGTGCCATTTTCCCTCCACATTAACAATCCTGAGCCTGTAAATAGCTGATATAAAAATACATATTTAGCCCTAACCGGTTTGGCTCAGTGGATAGAGCGGCCTGCGGACTGAAGGGTCCCAGGTTCGATTCCAGTCAGGGGCATGTACCTGCACATCCCCAGTGGGGGGTGTGCAAGAGGCAGCTGATCAATGTTTCTCTCTCATCGATGTTTCTAGCTCTCTATCCCTTTCCCTTCCTCTCTGTAAAAAATCAATAAAATAAAAAAAATAAAAAAATACATATTTGTAGCACTATAAAAAAATACATGCTGCACCTCATGTCTTACAATTTGTATAAAAACTTGTATTTATACCCTTGTCCCCACCCATACATGAAAGTTCAGGGTTCCAGGCACTAAAAAGATGGGCCAGTCCAGCCAGCATGAAGTCTGGTCTGTGCAGAGGGAAGACCCTAGGACCTGTGAACGCAGAACTGCACAAGGTAAAGGAAACAGCTCAAGAGGCAGGCAAAAAAATTCCCAGAAAACTTTGGTCCAAAATTTGCATGAAAAAAGAAACCATGCAAGTTCAAAGAACCCTGGTCCTCCCAGAGGACAGGTTAGGTGTAAGGCATAAACATCCAGAAGACTCAAGTCTGGGGATTTCTAGAAAGAACCAAGGCTTCTCAGTGGCCCCCACTGTGTCTACCCTGGAAACTAGATTCTGCCCTGCAACTTCACTCCGAGGAATAAAATAAAAGGTACAATACAAAAGGTCATATAAGGAGAAAATAGATTTACACACATACCATATTTATTATCTTGTTATATAGAAAATTATTCCTTATTTCTTTTACATATAAATGAAGACTAGAATATTTGGTCAACTGGAAATATTGCTAGGAGCAGATGTCTGCAACTGCATCAAAGCACAATTAAGAGATTTATGATGAAACAAAGCTACAAGCTAAAGAAGCACCAGGGACACACACCTTCAGGTGTCTCATCACAGGGGGGATATCTTAAGCCAGGGGTGGGGAGAATGACACACTTGATAAAAAGGAAGATTGAAATGTGGGCACATCCTGTAGCTGGCAGCCTCTTGCCATGTCAGGTACATGATCCCTGAGGGAGGCAGTCCCCAAACGCCTGAGCATTACCACCACCAAGAAAGCCCGGCAAGAGCAGTGTATGTTAAGGCACAAAAAGGCCAATTGGAGGTTTGGGAATGCCCACGGCATAGGCTGCAAAAGCAACAGGCAAGGGGGCACCAGGGAGGAGCAGGTATCCTTTCCACGTGTCACTGAAAACCTGAGGCTGGCACCCCATGTCCACAAAATGAGCAATGTGAATTATATTAAAAAACAGGTAAACTGATTTGTCTTTTAAAAATCTCTGGTATTTTAAGGTCACTTTAGCTGCTTTGAAAGTGGCTGTTTTCTGGAAGGATGAAAGTTGTCACCAGGTATTTTGGCAAAGGTCACCCACAGGTGGTGGTTTTCTCCCAGTTCATAATAGTGCAGGTCGATGAGCGCCTGGATTGCCTCTTCCACTGAACCCATTGTGATCAGCGCCATGCTCCTGTGCTTCTTGAAGAACTTGAATTTTTTAACAATTCTGCCGTTGCTGGAGAAGAGGGCCTTGAGGTTGTGCGCGGATGTGAAGGATGGTATGTGGGAGAGGTACAGGTTCTCTGAGGGTGGGAAAACATTCTGGAACTTCTTGGAGCATGCATTCCTGAAGCGGTGCAGGGGTGAGTTGCTGTAGTCTTTGGTGAGGCCCAGGTCTGCCTGGCCCTCATGAAGCAGATGCACATTTTTGTACGGGGTTACCGTGATGAGCATAGGCTTTCCATGCAGCTTATGCCTGTTGAGGTGGCTCAAGGCCAGCTGGGCCTGGATCCCATCAGCCATCTGCACCAGAGCTCGCGTCTTATTTTTAAAGAAAATCTTCACCCGCTGGACATCTCCATACACACCGAAAATAATGAAGAGGTTTTGGATTGTGATTCTCTCAGGGTTGAGGTTCTTGACCAGCAGGACACAATTTCCAGCCCCTGCTGGGCCTGGGATGGCAACCTGGCCTGTTGCTTCTGCTTCTGCTGTTGATGACACCGAATGGTTGGCCACAGGTGCAGGGTCTGCGATGGCAATCTGGCCTGCTTCTGCTGTTGCTGCCCCTGACACCAACGGGATGGCCACAGGGGGCAGGGCCTGGAGCTCATTGGGATCACAGAGGCCTGCAGCTTGAGGAATATCAAGGGTGGAAGGAAAACCAGCTCCTGATTTCACCGGGGCTGACGTTATCAGAGCAGCACTGAAGGCCGAGGCCATGGCCTGGTCCTGTAAGGACTGGCTGTCATCCCAGGGCAGGTCAGGATAGGTGTAGACTCGGCTCTTGCTGCTGTTGTACTTCAAGTTCAGGATGGAAGAGGTGGAAAAGCTGATGCGAACCGTGCAACCGAAGATGTTCCAACTGTCCAGAAACACCTTTGCGAGCACGGCGCTCAATGGTTCAGCATACTGCAGCAGTGCCTGGAACATGTTGTTCTGGGTGAAAGTGATGATTTTCAAAACTTTGCCAAAATGGGAAAAGATCTGGTGAAGCATGTCCAGGGGGAATGGGTGGAAGAGGTTCTCTAAGATAATCCTGAGCACTGGGCTCTGGCTAGTCATCACAGTACCTGCATCCACAGCAGCTGCGTCCACAGGGCCTGCATCATCAGTGCCTGAGCATACAGCACCCGTGCCCACAGAGCCTGCACTCACTGCTACTGAGCTCACAGGGCCCGCCCCCACATCCACAGCATCCACAGCGCCAACATCCACAGTGGCCGCATTCATAGCAACAACAGGACCTGCTTCTATAGTGCCTACATCCACAGCACCAGCCGAGGCAGCCAGAGCCAAGTTCCTGGACTTTACTGAGTTCAGAGCCTGCAAGGCTGACTGGACCTGCGCCTGGTTGTGTGAGCTGCTGGTATTGAGTTCCTTATGGTGGGAGAACTGGATGTAGATGGGCTGGCCTCGAAGCATGAGTTTCATGGAGGTATAGTAGTTCACCATGGTGATGGCAGCCTCCTCTGTGTTCATCTCAATGAATGCCTGGTTTTTCCATTTCATCATCAGGAAGTTGGTGACAGTCCCAAATGGCAGTCCCAGAAAAATGACCTCATCCTCAGTGACATCCCCAGGGAGCTTCTCGATGCAGATCACTCTGGAGGGAACACCTGAACTTCTACTGTCACCTTTGGAATTCTTACTGTTGCCTTTCATTTTCTTGCTGTCACCGTTCAACTTACTGCCATCACCTTTCAACTTCTGGCTATCACGTTTCAACTTCTCACTGTCAATTTCCAACTTATCACCATGCGACTTCCTGCTGTCACCTTTCAACTTCAACTTCTCCCTATCACCTTTCAACTCCAACTTCTTACCGTCAGTTTTCAACTTATTGTCACCATTCAACTTACTGCTGTCACCTTTCAACTTCTTGCTGTCAATTTTCAACTTATTATCACCATTCAACTTCTTGCTGTCACCTTTCAACTTCTTGCTATCATCTTTCAACTTGGTGCTATCACCTTTAAACTTCTTCCTGTCATTTCCATTTGCTGCAGAAGCTGAGTTAGGTCCTGTAGTTATGCAGGCAGAGGAGAGCTCATCAGGTCCCCGCTTTGTACCAGCTGCTTTGTCTAGGACAATGCCATCCGTTCCATACAGAAGAGACCCACGGGGGTTGGAGTGGAGGCGCCGGGACCGCACCAACAACGGCTCTGAGTTACAGACTCCTGAATCATTTTTAAATGAATATGAATAAAAATAAAACTTCACAATAGTACCATAAATGTAATCCAGCTTATATATGTCAGACTAACTAAAAAATATTAAATAGTTTATGATTTTACCTATTTCTTGGTTGGCTTCTGGAATCCTTTTCTCCTCAGGTGCACCTTTTATCCAGTCTTCTTTGGAACTTTTTATTCCTGTAACTATTTAAATATTCATTTTGAGATATCCAGATATTGTTAACCACCAATTTTAGTACTACAATGAAGAAAATTTAGATTAAGCCTAAAAAGTATTATTATATTCACATCAATCTAAAACGGCTCAAGAGCTCTACCTGGTTTGGCTCCAGGGATAGAGCATTGGTCATAAACTGAAGGGTTCTGGTTCGAGTCCAGTCAAGAGCACATACTTTGGTTGTAGGCTCAAAACCCCAGCCACATTCAGGACATGTGTGGGAAGCAACCAATCAATGTGTCTCTCACATAGACTTTTCTCTCTCCATCTTTACCCCCTCCCTTCAAATCTCTGTGGAAATCAACGGAAAATATCCTCAGGTAAGAAATTAGAAAAAAAGGGAGGGGGTGGCACAAGGAAAATTCTTTCTCATATTTAAAGTGCCTAATTTCTCAAATTTGGAAAAAAATTTACTTCAAAAGTTCACCTGCACTATGCAATTACTTTCACTTTGGTTGAAAATCCATCACATTTCAAGTTATTAAAGGGCACATGACAAACGTAATTCACATTGCCTCCACCCACTTTCAATATTAGCATTACTTCCATCCCTCAAATTCTATGCACCTGGTTAAAAGCAGGAAGTGAAATTACCCATACTTTTAAAATACATCTCTCTGACCCTCTAAGAAAATGTGCCTATTTCAGCTATAACTTTATGCAACTTAACAGACACTTGTCTGAAAAGCAGAAGAGAAACATTTAAATTCAGATCCTTCAGTTTTTCAATCTGAATTTTTCAGCACAATACTTTTTACATAATAACTGTCACTCCTGTTTCCATTCTACCACAAATAATTAGTCATCTATTTTCTTTCTTCCTCTACGTTGAAAATGCTATAATTCAGTTAACCAACAGTCATGACAAAAGACCTTTTTGCCACCCTGCGTTTGCTTCATATGCCTCCCTCATATGAGTAAAATGGATGTTACCACTGTTTCAAAGATGGTAAAAGCTATCACTAATAATGATTACATATCTCATAATGTTTAAATCAAAATTTCAAATTCAGAGGACTATCATACTGGACCTTGCACAGGGGCTTGCTCCTTCCTAGGACAAGGTTGCAGATCCTTCTGTTCTTCAGTGGAGTTTATCTTCTTATTAATCAGTCCATCTGGACATAATTTAAACTCCAGCATGCTTTGCTTTTCTGTGGTATTTTTCTTAGGTAAAGTGGTGTTAGGTTTATTTTCCACACTCTTCTCAATATTTTTCGGCAAACTGTCAAGTTTTGTGAGACAAATGCTCTCTCGTTCAATACATTTAAATGCAACTCTGTTCAGATATTGTTTCCTTTGCTCCTTTGCTTGGGGAGACAAGTGGTTGCGTTCACCTCCATTGTTTATGTTGTTTAAATTTTTATCTAATTTGGTTTTATCAATGAGCATTTTATCAGGTTGCTTTCCACCAACTGTTTCTTTAGCATTCCCCAAAAGGTATGATTTAGACACATGAGAATGGTGAATTTTTGTGTTTTTATCATGGCTTGAATAAATACTTAATGATTCTTCAGAAGTCTGCACACTGCTACTGTGTCTCTCATTTGATTTGCCAGAACTCCCTATTTGCATAGCAAGTTTACTGGACCTCATGGATTGAGAATCACATGGTATACTTTTCTCACAGTTTAATTTTGATGCTTTGACACCCATTGCTTCTTTATGCTTCTGCCTTTGCAAATACTGCTCTAGCGTTATAACAACTTTAGGCGAATTATCCTTAGACGTAGAGCCTAATGATTTAACATTAGATACTGTCTTTTCTTTGGCTCTATCATCGGGTTTTGACAAAAGAGAACACGTTTTCAAAGTACCATCTCCATTTTTATTTTGCTCTTGTTTAAAATACTTCATCTTCTTTACCTCTGAATTAAGTATGCTCCCTTCACCTAACTTCCTTTTTGCTGAAACTTTTTGCTGATGATCACCTGTTTTCAATTTTATCTTTTCTGGCAATAATTTCTGTACAAGAGAACCATTTTTTATATGCAAGTCTTTATTTTTATTTGTCCAAAAACCTGGCTTTCCTTTAGGTGGACTTGAATTTTGTGCTATGATCTTTCTCTGCAAACTCTCTTGAGAAAACTTTCTTTTAGCACTAGAATGAAAAGTCATCTCATGAAATTTCAGTTTTCTTTTCTTTTTGTGACATTTTAAGGAATCTAGTTTTTTATCCCCTTTAGAAAAAGATGGAGCGGATAATTCTTGTTCTGTCCTTAGTGAGCTGCATTTTGGTTCTGATAGATCTTTCATAGTCTTGCCTTGTTCTGTTTCAGAAAAAGGGTTTTTCCCAATCGGAACAGTCATCGCAATCTTTGGATTGTTATTTGGAGAACAATTAAATAACATGGAATAATCTTTATCAGAAGTAGTCTCTCCTTGCTTACAACTGTTGGTCTCCAGAGAACACCGATCTTTCCCATTTTCGACCTTTGAAGTCAAGTTATTGATGGACTTACACTGGCACTGGGGAACTCCTTCATAAACATTAGAGAGCCAACCCAATGCACAGCAACGGACATCGTCTTTCTCTGAATCCATAACAAAATTGGAACTTTCTCCATCTGTATGTACTGGTGAGTCACAGTGGATTCCTTTTTTTGTGACAGGGTTTTCTTTCTCTGATTTTGTAAATTTGTCTAACTCACAAGATTGATCATTCTGTTCGGGAAATAATTCTTTCATTTGCTCTGAGTTTAATATTGTAATTTTTATGTGGTCAGTTGCATCTTTGGAGTCACAGATGGTTTTATCACAAGACTCATCTTTAGAGTTTTTGTCTGTTATTTGTTTTGCTGGAGAATCTTCATGTGTAGTCACAGGTTCAATACCATAGGGAAAATCTTTTGAGAGTTCTGAAAGCTGATCGTGTGGGAAGAAAATGGAAGTGTCATCAAGAACTTCATTTACTGCAGGATCCTGGGCAGTGTGATTGCAGGACACATCAATTTCCTGGGGGTTACTGCTCTGATGAAGAGCAGCTGATGAACACATATCTTTAGCTGTGCTTACTTTTTTACTATAATGCTTCAAATTGCTTTCCTCTGGATTTTCACTACTTGAATCAACATTCTTCAAAAATGACTCTAGAGGTTGTGGTGACTTTGATTGATCAGGTTTTTTATGTAAAACATCTGTGTACTGTAAAAAATTATCTTTTTGTAAACCAAGCTCTATCTTTTCAGTGATATTGTCTGATTGTTCTTTTTGTTTTTTAGTACTAATCACTTGGAGACTAGGTAATGATTTCTGTGACTCAATTTGTTCAATAGGAGGTGACTTGAATATCTTTGCTATTTGATAATTATAAGATGTATCACCTTCAACCAGAGAACATATATTGTCAATCTGCAACAACTCACTACTCACAGTATCATCGTCCCTGGAGTTAGATGAGGCTTGCTGATCACTCACAGGACAGTGAATATTTGGTTCAGATTCTATTGGATTTCCTTGATTGGTATTAGGTGCATCTTCTGAATTACCATTAGTTGAAGTATTTCGCTTTTCCTTCTGAATTAGTGGCAAAACCTTATTTGTTGTACTTGTAACTGGTTCGTTCACTTTCAATACAGCAGTCACTCTTCTGTTTTCTGCCAATTGATTCTGTAAACTACAAACACTGCCTTCTTTAATAACCGGATAGCCTGTTTCAGGTAAATCAGGTGTTATTCCTTTGACAGGCAATGTTTTGATATCTGAAATTAAGGGTGACACCACAGCAATCTGAAGTTCTGTTCCCTTAATAGTAGTTGCACCTGGAGATTCATAACTTTGCACTACCATTGGCAGAGTTGTTACTTGTGAGCAGTTTTCCATCTTATTCTGAGAATTTCCCACAAGTGAAACTGGAGTTTTATCACAGATTTCCCCAGCTTTTGAGATTCTAACTGCTGTTCTCTGTGCTGTTAACTCATTACACTGTTTTTTTTCTGTAGGTTCAGAAGGGGTTTTTTTCCACAGATTAAGACATGTTGCTAGCAATTCCAAATGACTGTCAGCATTCAGAGGTGCTCCAGTTTTAGGAAATTTATGGTCCATGCAAGAAGAATTTTCTGATACATTGGCATTTATATTATAAGAGCTTGGAGTTTCCACGGTTTTCAAGTTCAGTTGGTTATTAGTGATTTGGATATTAGCTTTCATTTCAAAATTGTGTGGATTAGAATCCTTAATAGTTTCACAACCATCTTTCATTAACCTTTTTTCAATTTCATCTCCATGTGCAAGGAGACTGATAAGTAGCCTATTTTCATTTAGATATTTTGAAGCGTATGACTCAGAGGCCATAGACTGAGGAACTAAAATTGTTTCAGAATTGGCTTGCACATTTTCTTCAACATTGACTATATTTCCTGATGAAAACTGGGTATTCTCCATAGTTGGCATCTTGAAAGAAGTGGTATGTTTTAAATTATGTAACTGGTCTGGCACTGGACCCTTTCCCGAACACACAGAATTTAGTAAAATCGAATTAACCTGGTTAGAATTCCTGCAATTGGTCTCTTGACTAGAATTCAATGAACTGTGCATTCTATTTGTTTCTTCAGCTATTTCCACTGCTTTTGGTGATTTATCCACTGCAGTCTCTGGAGCGGCTGGGGTTACATGTGGTCCAAACTGGGTTTTGCCAGTTTGTTTCAGAGACAGTTCAGAATTTTGAGGTGTTTCACTATTAGCCTTAATACAACCTGCTAACATTAAAACATTTTTATTAATTTTAATTTTCCTTGCCAGTTCAGAAAATTTCTTTCTCATTTCTACTAATTGTTTAATATCCTTCACTAACTTCTCTTTTGCAATATTTGTGTCCAGTACTTGACTTGGAGTCAGATTAGAAAAATCTACTCTTTCTTCTTGATTATTTTGAGGAAGAATCTGAACATCGTCAACAGATCTAATAGGCTCACTAAAAGACTGATTGGTACTAGTATTTACTTTCATGTTACAAAAATTTCCAGTCATACTGACATTTTCATTGAGGTTTTGCTGTTGAAGGCCCCTGCAAAAGTCTTTCCTCATTTCAGAAGTATGAACTTCTTGACTCTGAGGAACTTCTGAAGAGTGAGTAATAACATGCTGCGAATTTTGCAAAGTTTGGCTTGCGTACCTACAGTCATAAGGAGGAAGAAGTCTGTTTTCATTCTGAATAACTGCAATTTGATAGGACGGTAAAGATGCAGCCTGCTTTGACTGTAATGTCAGTGCAGAATTTGAATGATGACTATTTTTAACTTGTACTGATGTAAGTTGCATAGTACTTTGTTTCTGAAGAGTAGGACTTTGCAAATAGCTTTGTGGTGGATAACTGTATTGCTCTGGACGTGGTCTGTAATCTGCATAAGTCAGTCCATTGGATGTATACTGTTGTGCACAGTCAGCCTGTCGCTCTGATAAAGATGAGGTAAGTCTCTGGTTTCCTTGATAAGTTACAGGAACTCTTACAGGATTAGAAGGGACCATCTGTCCTTGCATAGAATAGACTTCTGATGTTACAAATTGATTCTGTAGTGCATTTACATTTGGTGGATTAGTTCTAAAACCAGTTTGTTGAGAAACAGCTGCCCCTGTATGAGAAAACATTGAATTCCTCCCTGGTGAGTTTGTCCACACATTTTGTGCAACTCCTGGAGACATTTGCAAACTGTTATTTAGTTGACTGGGTCCTTTTACATTTGCATAAGTTTTTCTTTCCAAAGAAACTTGTGAGGCAAAAATTGTCCTACTATGTATATCAGAAGCAGAGATTTGATGGGAAGTTGTATTTCTGATGTTGAGAGGTGACTGTGAAACTGGATTTGAGTTACTCCGAAACATACATGCAGGATGGTTACTTCCAGGAGGGTTTAAAGGAACTTGAGATGGTGTGTTTATTACACTCGGCTCCAAAAAAGATGACTGTTTTTTAGGATACATTGGTTGTAAGGTGACACTATTCGGTTTAGCATTCCAATCCATTGTTGATTGATTAAAGTAGTAGAAGTGTATTAAAAATTAGGTTTTTTGAATGTCAGGAATCTGTAAAAAAAAAAATAAAGGCGCTTATTAATAAGCTGTTTGACTGAACAGAACATCTTTTAAAATTAGTTTACCTGAACACCAATGCTGACTATATCTATCGTAATTCCTGAAAATTCAGATTACACAAATCCTCATTTTAATTTCTGAAAGAGAAATAGAAAAGGAGGATGCAACAATAAACATGATAAATGTCAATAATATTTAACAGGAATTCATCCTACATTTAAGTGGCGATTACTTTCTGATTTTATTTTTATTAAGTATCTCTTTATTCTAAGTATTCATATTCACTATTTTAAAATGACAAAAAATGTTACTATCTATCACTACTTTCTATACACCATAAGGGAATATCAGCTGTAACACCTCCTCTTTCAGAAAATTTTGATACAATAAAAAAACACTAACACTTGGAGTGCGGGTGAATTTCCCGCCAAAATATAAGATGGCTCTGTCTTTTGGTTTTGTTCCATCCACCAAAAGGGTGGATTACAAACAAATATTTGGTAATACGCAGTTACAATTGGCCCGAGTTTACACGTTTCCCGCACTCCACCGCAAATCTATATGAACACTACTTTCTATACACCATAAGGGAATATCAGCTGTAACACCTCCTCTTTCAGAAAATTTTGATACAATAAAAAAACACTAATACAAAGCCCTTGCTGGTGTGCCTGAGTCATAATCAGGTTGCAGGTTTGATTCTTGTGGAATCTTCACAACGTATTTAATGAGGGGTGCAGAAGGGAGGCAACCCCTTGATGTTTCTCTCTCCCCCCCCCCCTTTTCTCCCTTCCCCTCTCTAGAAAAATCAATAAAAACATATTTAAAAAAATAAAAAACTAATAGAGGACTGGTTAAATGGTGGTGCAACCATGAAGTAGAATCTTACCTAGACAATGAGATAGATATGTTAGTGAAATAATAAGATATCCTAGGTGTACAGTAATGAAAATCAGGCAAATTGTGGACAGTTTGGTAGGATTCCATTTGTTTAAATAATGAGTCTTCATTTATATATCAACCAAATACAGGTGTACCTCATAAATTTTTTGCACTTTCCTTTATTGCATTACATATTGAAGAGGCTCCATCATAACCAAACTACATAATAGGAAAAAGACAGGTAAAATAAAATTAAACAACCTTATTAACACCTTTCGTACTGCTCACGAGTTTTCTCGTGTTTCGCGTGCCATCTGTTAAGGACCGCTCGAGTTTTCTCTCACACCCATGGGAAAAGAAGCGAATCTAGATACTTATGTAAATTTTGTTTGGTCCCTCTTCATAAAGGAAAATGTTTTACGCAGTACAATATGTTAAAAAAGTACTAGGCACTTTAATTGTTTAATTGTTTTTGTAAATAAAAATGTTATAATTATTGAAAAAACGACACCTAAAGTGCATTATGATGATTTAAATAACGTGCAGTTTGCCTGAAAACATGTGGTCCCTGGCATATGTCTTAAGAGATTTCTATGAAGTATGAAAGGTGTTAACACTTGGAGTGCGGGAAACGAGTTAAGTCGGCTCGCGTGAATTGCGCGTACTCCGCGGGAGCCGTCTTTAACTCGGTTCATATAGATTTGCGGTGGAGTGCGGGAAACGTGTAAACTCGGGCCGATTGTAACTGCACCTAAAGTGCATTATGATGATTTAAATAACGTGCAGTTTGCCTGAAAACATGCGGTCCCTGGCATATGTCTTAAGAGATTTCTATGAAGTATGAAAGGTGTTAATAGTATACCCAACAACTTCAGAATATACATTCTTTTGAAGTGCACATGAATTTTTGTCAATATTGATCATATGGTTATGCAACAAATAAATCTCAAATTTCAAAGGATTAAAAATGATTTAGATTAATTCACTGGAAATGACCAAGAAATTATGGAGCAAAGGTAACTACAAATTGCAAAATAATTGAGAAATAAAGAAAGCTTGATACACTTGAGGGGAGAGAGAGAATGAATCTGGCGTCTCTTATTCTACTTACAATGACACCACTCCTTTTGGATTAAGGACCTACTCTTATGACCTCATTTAAATTTAATTACATCCCTAAAAGGCCCAAGTCCAAATACTATCACATTGGATGTTAGGGCTGGGAGTGTGGGAACACAATTTAGTTCATAATACTCTATCATCCCAATGTTCACGTAAGACCTGAATACTGGGAGAGGGGTAAGGGGAAGGGAAGGGGCTGGAAGAAGTTAATGGGGAACCCTAAGTAATACTTTCAGAAATAAAGATTGTTTTTTAAAAAGACCAGAAGATAATTTATAGCATTAAACATACTAGAAAAAAGAAAGTGAGAAATAATCGGGACATCAAAAGAACTGAGAAAAATAAATTGAACCATAGAAATGAAATACAGTAAAATAAACAAAAAAACAAACAAAAATACAGAGATTCAACAAACTCAGATTCTTTAAAAAAAAAACCAAAATCATTAAAAGCTTCAGCTCTAACACTGATCATGAAAAAAAGACAACACAATATTAGAGAAGAAGGCTATCACTAAACAACATTAAAATTATAAATATCCTATCTAATAATAGACAAACATAATTAACCATACCTTCGCTACACTTCCCATTGGCTAATCAGGGCAATATGCAAATTAACTTCCAACCAAGATGGCGGCTGGCAGCCACACAGCTGAAGCAAGCAGGAGATTTGCTTGCTCCAGTGATGGAGGAAGCAAACGTTCCCTGCCTGCTGCAGCCTGGCTCTGAGCTCTGAAAGCAATAAGTTTCAATTATAGAAGCTAAACAAACCTCAGATACCTGCTTTCAGAAGGCCGTGGCCTCAGAGCAGTGACAGCAACAAAGTTTCAATTATAGAACCCAGAATAAAAAATAAAAAGAAAAAAGGAGAGGCTGAGAGCTTCAGTCGCCAGCTAGCCTAAAAACGGCCCTCATCCCCTTATACCCAGACTGGCCAGGCACCCCAGTGGGGACCCCCACCCTAAAAGGGGTGTAGCCAGCCTGAAAACAGCCATCAGCCCCTCACCCAGGCTGGCCAGGCACCCAAGCGGGACCCCCACCCTGATCCGGGACACCCTTCAGAGCAAACTATCCGGCCCCCACCCGTGCACCAGGCCTCTATCCTATATAGTAAAAGGGTAATATGCAAACTGACCCTAACAGCAGAAAGACTGGGAATGACTGGTCACTATGACACACACTGAACACTAGGGGGCAGACCCTCAATTGCAGGAGCTGCCCTCTGGTGGTCAGTGCGCTCCCACATGGGGGAGCTCTGCTCAGGCACAACCCAGGCTGATGGCTGCCAGTACAGCAGTGGTGGTGGGAGCCTCTCCTGCCTCCTCAGACTGCAGCTTAGGTCTGCTCCCCGCTGGCAAGTGGACATCCCCCAAGGGCTGCAAAAGCATCCCTGAAATTAGAGGGAAGGTGTTCTGTTTTCTGATTTTTTTTATTGCAGTCTCTACTTTTGAATAAATACAATGTACTTAGTCTTATACCTTTTACATGGAAATGCAAAAAATGAACTTTACCAGAGACAGATTTCCAGTCTATTGTTTTAATTTCTCTTGGAAAAAGAAATCATTTTGCATGAAAATCTCCACCTTGCCTGCATCCCTTATCAAACCCTTACCTGTTAAACAGTGACACTCACCTGGAAAACGCCAGCTATGACTGAACATATGAATCTCCTCTACAAAGGAGCAGCCCGTTTTCTGGAGAAAACAAAAAAGAAATCACTTAAGCCAGCAGACAAATTTTACTTCATGAACCTAAAGATGAAACTTAACATTGGCTCTAATTGGTTTGGCTGAATGAGTACAGTGTTGGCCTGTGGACACAATGTCCCAGGTTCAATTCCAGTCAAGAGAACATGCCTAGTTGTGGGCTCAATCCCCAGTAGCAAATGTGCAGGAGGCAGCCAATCAACGATTCTCTCTCATCATTGATGTTTCTATCTCCCTCTCCCTCCCTCTCTAAAATCAATAAGAATATATATTTAAAAAATAAAATAATTTTACTGACTGAGACCTTTCCTCTCCTCCCTAGTACCATACGTTCCAAACTACACAGATGCTTCTCTTATTCAGAACATCAGTCAATGATAACGGAACCCGCAAGTAAGAATTCTTCCTGAGGCCACATCTCACAGAATTGAAAAATGAAGCCATGGACCAGAGGAGTTCAAGCAAGGCAGAACTTTATTGCAAGCAAACACAGGGCCTTCCCCGATCCCCCACTCAGGGAAGGGACCCAAATTTAGGTTGCCATTAAAGCATTCTGCTCTTCCCCCTTCTATCTGCTAAAAGCTGGTCTTTGTCTATGCCGCTCTGATTGGTTCCCAGCCTAGAACAATTTCAAAATCTATCTTTTGCTGCTCCTCCTCCTTCCCTCTTCCTTCCTGTCTTTTGTAATGTTTTAATATTGCTGTTTGCCCTTTCTCTATAATAGAAGTGTCAGAGATGAAAGAAAATTAGTAAAATGTATATAAAAATCTTCCTCCTGTCACAGTCTGGGGCGTGTCACGGGAACCAGAGTCAAGTCCCCGCCCACCCACGTGCACCTCAAAATCCCACAAGACCCAGACCCAGCCAGCCCCACCCCCATTTGGGCTAGATCCAAACAGATGACACAGCCTGAGGTACCCTGTCAAGACCAGAATATGCCAGAAGACATGGCAAAGTAATTTTGCTTCATGGTAACGCACCATCACACACTTCAAAACCAGTTAAAGACACGTTAAAAGATATTGCCTGGGAAGTATTTAACCCATCCGCGGTAATCACCAGATCTTGCTCCTTCAGATTATCACTTGTTCTGATCGATGGCACATGCACTTTCTGAGTAGCACTTGAAAACATATGAAGAAGTGGAAAATTGGGTCTCTGAATGGTTTGCCACAAAACAAGAAACGTTCTATTGGGACATTATCCACAAATTACCTGAAAGATGGGGGAAATGTGTAGCCAGCAATGGACATTACTTTGAATAAAGCACTTTGGATGTTTCTCTTGAAATTATCATGTTTTCTTTTATTACAAAATCTGCATTATTAACTGATACACCTAGTATGCACCCCTATGTTCATAGCAGCATAATTTACCATAGCTAAGATTTGGAAACAGCCTAAGTGGCCCATCAGCAAATGACTGGTGATTACTGTGGTACTTTTATACAATGGAATACTACACTGCTGTAAAAAGAAGGAATTCTTACCATTTGCAACAGCATGGACGGAAATGAAGAGCATTATGCTAAGCGAAATAAGCCAGTCAGAGAAAGGTAAGTATCACATGATCTCATTCATTTGTGGAATATAATGAACATAAACTGATGAACAAAAATAGAACCAGAGGTAGAAAAACATCAAACATACTGTCCAACCTATGAGGGAAGGTGGCGGGTAAGAGGGTAAGAGATCAAGGACTTGTATGCATGATAATGAGCATAATCAATGGACACAGACAGTAGGGAGTGAGGACATGTGCTGGGGGGTGGGAGCAGCCGGGAGAGGTCAATGGGGGGAAAAGAAGATTCGTGTAATACTTTAAACAATAAAGAATTTGAATAAATAAAGACTTATGACCTAGCAGATTTGGCTCAGTGGATAGTGTCACGGCCTGCAGACCAAAAGATCCCAGGTTCTATTCCGGTCAAGGGTAAGTACCTTAATTGCAGACTCCTCTCAGGCCCAGGACCAGGACCCTGGTTGGGGCTTGTGCTGGAGGCAACCAATCGATATGTTTCTCTCACATCAATGTTTCTATGTCTTTCCCTCTCTCTACCACTATACCAAAAAAAAATAAAAAAAAAAAAAAAGGATGTGGTTCAATTGAAAAACTGTCAGCAGCTTCCTTTATTTCTAGGTCAGCCTTATTATAAAAATTACACAGCAAAAAATAAGTTATAGCTAAGATGGAAGGCATAAAGAGTCTGACTCAGGGTAACACAAATACAAAGATACATATTTAGACAATATTTAGCAGGCTTCAATGAATGAATAAACATCTGTAGTTGCTGAAAACCAAATTTAAGAGAAGTCCTTATTTTAATTTATAGATGGGAAACAGTCCTGCATCTCCCTTCTTCACATCTATGCCAATCGTGATTTCAATTGTATTACAATACCTTCTTTAAAAAAAAAGTATGTACATACACACACACATTTAACATGATAGACGACTTCTCAACTGAAAAGGAAAGCAACAGAAAATCTGTCTTGGCATTAAAACAAGTTTTTTTTTAATTGATTTCAAAGAGAAAATGGGAGAGAGTGATAGAAACATCAAAGATGAAAGAGAGTTATTGATAGGTTCCTGCATGCCCCACATTATGGATCCAGCCGGCAACCCCAGCAAATGTGCTCTGACCAGGAATCATACCATGACCTCCTGGCTTATAGGTCGACGCTCAACCACTGAGTCATGCAGGCCAGGCTGTTTTAGCATTTTTAATTGAAATTTTTTATTATGTCTTTCTAACTTCCACAAGCCAAAGTTTATTTGGAGAGTGCCTACTGATGTGCTTAAATTAAGGAAAACCAGCATTTTTCATTGAAAAACTGATTTGTATTGGAAAAAAGCTATATTTGAAAACCTCTATTAAAAACAATTCACTAAAACCACAAACACCAACATTCTAAGTGTAAGAGCCACTTTTCAGGAATTCCAGAAGTATTATGATTTATTGAACCTGTTGTAGCTCTGAGTTTCTGTATCCTCAATCATCAGAGAAGTTAGGTTACCAGTCCTTGAAATAGGCTTTGAGGACTAGAGTATTCTAAATTTTACAATATTTATAATACAACACTATTATTTATAAAACAACTTCATTAATACTAACAGCTAACATTTGAGAACTTACTTTATGCCAAGAACTTTCCTGAATGCTCTAAATACATTATCACACTTAATTGTCATAACAAAGGAAGTTAAGCAGTCTTCCCTAAGCAGTAGCACCATGCTCAGCAGGGCTAGAAGTCCTACTATCACAGCTGTAAAGCTCGTGGTTCTCCATATTGCCACATAGAAAGGAGAAAGACCAAAGGGATTCACATGCAGTTTATTACTTACTGAAACAGCAAAACTAGTAGCGGTGTTCCCAGTCCTACAAGGTCATACTGAGGTCCATGAGAACACAGGCTTTAGAGGAGCCACCTGTAGTCATTGTATAGCCTTGCAGCTACACCCCCCAGGGCAAGGGTGGTAAAATCCTGTGCTCAACTGAAATTAGGCAGGCACAAAAGACACAACACTGTGGCTATTTCTCATAAGGCTGCGTATCAACATTTGTTCTGGGAGGACTTGCAGGGTGCCCTGCCAAAGTGTGGGTCAGACGGAGATGAACTGTGCAGCGCGTGGGAAGGCAAAGTCATCAGAGCAACGTGGTGAAGCCATTCGCCTACACCTCTATTCTCCAATCTTTTATCTATCTAGCTAAATGCTCTCTTCAGACTCTCAGGCCACTCAAATACTCTAATTTCGTACTTTCTCTTAGGCAACACCAGGCTGAGTGACTAGACTGCGACTCTGAGCAGGAAGACCAGGCCTTTTTTGTAGGTCAGCCCACAACCAGACTCCCTGCTACCTAAGTATGTCCCAGGTACCATGCTGGTTCACCAGTGAGAGCCACATAAAAAACAGGAGTGGGAAGTAAACTGCTCTCTTTTTCCTGATTATACCTATAATCCAGGTATAGCATGGGATATTTGAAATTACTATATCCCATCATCACTAGCTAGCAGAGCAATGCAACTACCATTCTGTAACAAAGTTTTCACTTTAGATAACCCTTGAACAACCAGGGGTTAGAGGCACTGACTACCCCCATTCCACCTCCACCCCCTAAAACGGAAAATCCAAGTATAACTTTTGACTCCAAAACCTTACCTAGTCTACTGTTGACTGAAAAGCCTTACTAATAACACACTTTGTATGTCATACGTATGACATACTGTATTCTTACAAAGTTATACTACTTTATTTGTTGAAAAGTAAATCAATGTATAAATGGGTCTTCAGTTTAAACCCATGTTGTTCAAGGGTCAATTGTAGTTTCCCACCTTTTCTAGTTGTGTTATTTCCTGAAGTGGGAATTAAAGATAAGAATATACGTGAGGGAATCAGTTAACCTTCCTTGGAGTTCTGCCTAATAACTCACTTTAGGTACCCAACTCAAAAAAACACGATCCATTAGAGCAGTGGTTCTCAACCTTTCTAATGCCTCAACCCTTTAATACAGTTCCTCATGTTGTGGTGACCCCCAACCGTAAAATTATTTTTGTTGCTACTTCATAACTGTAATTTTGCTACTGTTACGAATTGTAATGTAAATATCTGATATGCAGAATGTATTTTCATTGTTACAAACTGAACATAATTAAAGCATAGTGATTAATCACAAAAACAATATATAGTTATATGTGTTTTCCGATGGTCTTAGGCGACCCCTGTGAAAGGGTCATTCGACCCCCAAAGGGGTCTCGACCCATAGGTTGAGAACCGCTGCATTAGAGGGTTGGTGGTCTCAAACCTCTAAAAATCTCTGACAACTCCAAGTAACAGATTTGTGTTTAGCAGCCAAGTATAAGCTACATAAGATGCAGTATTCTGTTAGGATACAAACTGTATTAGGAATGTTAAGTATCACCTATTAAAATGAGTGAGCTAATTTTGTGCCTCCTGACATAGAAAAATTCTTTCCATAAAAGTGATCA